CGCAAGATCGATTGTGAGCCTTCTACCAACGAAGGTTTGGGCGAAGGAAGAGGGTTAATAGCTTCATTCCAGGCGGTAGAGGAGGTTGGCTGTAAGTATAGCCATCGCCAAGGATTGGGATACAACCCTTGGAAGTGAAGCAGAGGCCAAGGAGAACTGCGACCAATCTTATTACATTAGCCGAACTAGATGAATATAAGGCTCCGGTAAATGCGAATCAGAATATCCTTGGTACTGTGTCCGAGGAGAATCATGACTCGTCGGTCTTGTCGAAATGACGGATAGCATAACAAGCCCCTCAAGTCGGTCTGTTGTTGGTGATGGCTCTAAAAGCGCCTCTGCTGGGTCTGAATGGGCTGGTGACCTTGCTCTTAGCAAATGCTATCTAAATGAAAATGCCTGTCATCCTCAGATCTGATTAGATTGTAATATGACTTTCCACGATGGGGATCAGAATGACCTCAATAATGAGGAAATTCCAGTCATGAAAGAGGAGGCACCTCACAACAATTTGGAAGGTGGCCAAGCAACCGTGGACGAACTTATGGAAGTAGATTTGGGAGACCAGGGTGACCTAAAAGCCTACGTTTCTTAGCGTGTCTCTAAGTCCAGAAGAGAAAGACTGTTACGTTGCATTCCTTCGACAAAACAAAGACATCTTTGTATGGATGTATAAGGAAATGCTAGGGCTAGGCCTAGGGTGGCTGACCATAAGTTGGCAGTTGATCGAGAGGCAATCCATGCGAAATGCGCCCTTGTAAACTGCAACCAAAAATAACACCCAAGATAGAAGTAGAAGTGGGTGAGCTTCTCATGGCTGGGCTCATCCGAGAGGTGAAATATCCAAAATGGATCGCAAATGTGGTGCTAGAATAAAAAGAAAAATGGTAAAATTCAGGTCTACTTTGATATCAGGGATCTGAATGCGGCATGTTTGGGGGATGAGTTTCGCTACCCAGAACAGATGTCATGATTTGATTTTACCTTAACCTGTGATGCCTTCTCTTTCATGGACGATTATTTGGGTATAATCAAATTAGGATAGCTCTAGAAGATGGGGCTCTCATTGCCTTTTGGACTATAAAAAGTATTTTCTACTATAAAGGGATGCCATTTGGGCTCAAGAATGCGGGTGCCACGTATTAGCAGGCAATGACTACCATAAGCAAGGAAATCTTGCATGATGTAACATGGATGATATGGTGATTAAATCCTAAGAGCGAAGCACTCACCTACAAGATTTTGAGGGTGTATTTCAAAAGCTATGACTCCAACTATGATGAACCCCCTTAAAGTGAGCCTTTGGCTTGAGGTCAGGGAAATTGCTCGGGTTTGTAATGAGGCATGGAGGTATGGAATTGTTTTGGTGAAAATAAAAGGCATACAAGAAATGCCACCACTGAAGAACCTGCGGGAACTCAAGTCCTTGCAGGGAAGGCTAGCGTACATCTAGAGGTTTATATCAAATCTCTCTGGGAGTTGTCAAGGCTTATGACAAAGAATGTGCCCTTTATATGGGACAACTTGCCAAAAGATCTTGGACAACATTAAGGCATACCTCCTCAATCCATGGGTATTGTTGGTGCCCATTCCATGTAAACCCCTTATTTTGTATGTTCATGCCCTTTGAAAAATATCTAGGGGCTCTGCTGGTCCAACACAATGAGGAAGGAAAAGAAGTGGCGTCGTACCATTTGAATGACACAATGAATGAAGCAGAGCACAATTACTATCCTATTGAGAAATTGTGCCTAGCTCTGATGTTCGCGATACAAAAACTCCAACACTACCTCTTAGAGCACAACTAATGTCATAGGCTAATCCAGTCAAGTTCCTTATGTCATGGCTAGTGCTTTTTGGTTGGCTTGCAAAATTGACATTACCCTAAACATATGTACCCCAAAAGGCGGTGAAGGGACAAGCCCTTGTGGACTTCTTGGTAGCTCATCCTCTATTTGAGATGCTCTGGTCAGGGAGGCTCTTCTAGATGAGGAAGTTATGTGCCTATCGTCTTTTTCCAAATGGAAAATGTACTGTGATGGAGCTTCCCAAAGCTTGGGTGTCGGAGTCGACATCCTGTTTGTGACTCCAGGGAAGCTTTTATGCCTTATGCATTCAAATTTCTGAAGATTTGGTCAAACAATGAGGCAGAATATGAGGCACTAATCACAGATTTAAAATGGCTTTCGAAATGAGAATAAAGAACCTGGATGCCTACGGAGACTCACAATTGCCAGTAAGGCAACTTAAAGGGATGTATGAGGTTAGGAAATTGGAGTTTATTCCTTACTTCAACACTGCAAAGCATTGCTTGCAATGTTTGATGAGATTATGGTTAACCACATCACCCTCCATCTTAATCACCGTGTGTCCTTCATTCTTAAAGGAGTCGGTGCTAATCCCAATCAGGGTAAGGCAAATTTTAGATCTTGATCAGGAGCTCGATCCATATGTAGAATGGGACCTCAAAGATGCTTTCCCACCATACCCGTTTTGCAAGGGTAGCCCAACTACGATGTGCATAGATGTGATAGTGGAGGACTGGCCTCAAACCTTACTCGAGTGTATACTACATGGGCGACTTCCAGGTAACCGCAAGGAGCGGATTGCCTTGAGAAGGCTGTCGACGAGGTATACTTGTATTAATCGGCTCTGCACTTGTAGTAATTGGTTGTTGTATGACAGGTTTTTCAAGGGCATTCTACTGCGATGCTTGTCTTGCATCCTCCCCATCACTTTGAGCCAAGAGATAAGCTCCACTTGAGTAAAATTTCATCACGATAAACAGTCCTTCCCAGTTGGTTCACACTTTCATCTCTTCTCAGGATGCCTGATCACTAGAACCAACTCCCCATACAGGTTTCGAAACCCCCAAGATCCCACTTCTCGAGGTCTTCACAGGTTGAAGAGCATGCGGTTATTCGTACCTCACATTCTGTTGCAGTGCTTGCATAGTCCTTTACCAGGCAACCTTTCTCCACCTGAGCTACTAGTACCAGGCGACCTTTCTCTCTCTTCTCTCAAACATACAACATATAGGAACTCTTTACCAGGTAACAATGCCAAAAACTCTCTGGCTCCATGGAGTCAATCCCACTGGTCTGAGAAAGTCATTCTTACCTTTCTCCAACGATCTCTAAGAATACCAACCTCCACACTTTGACATGGGTTTCCTATTGAGCTACCATTAAAGTTGAGCTTTACATTTCTCGTAGGTGAATAGTTTGTCTGTGTGACAATTTGTCAGGACTTATTGTACCCAAGTTTTTCAAGAATCCTTGTACTGTAAACCGCTTCAATGCATCACAACTAGAGCAGAGTGGATTTCACACACTTCTTTCTCTTATTATCTTTCTTGGATTAAGGGGGATTTCATGCACTTATTTTTCATATTCTATTTCTCTCTCTCTTTCTCTTCAACCTTTTTTTTATCAAGAATGACTTGAACCAATACCAAAAATTTTTAGGCAAATACCATTTGGACTGGAAGTCCGTTCTTTACATGGGATGGACTCTAGGAGATGAATCACATCTTTTTTTCATGTGATGCAAATCACTAAGGTCTAAGATATGGCAGGAGCACCACTTGAGATTCTTCTAGTGGCGAGAGCTTGGCCAAGTTGCCCAAGCGCATCTAGAAACATTAAAGAAAGTGTTTTGGTGGATGCAGATATAGGTATACCATGTTCTTGCTTGGTCTTAGTATGGATAGAGGAGCCATCGGAAGTATGAATAGCTGCTGCAAGTAAAACAGGATGCATCCTTGTTGCCCATTTTTTGGCTAGGTTCTATCATTGATATAGTCTTTGTCAGTTCCTTGCCTTGTGATAAACTTATAAGAGTTTTAGGATTCTATAGTGGTTCTTGTCGTTGCAATACCATATTACCACTCCAAATTATTGACATGGTTTCTAGAATAAATTTATCATATCAGGTTATTGTGATAATTCTTATTACAATTGTTAAAGGCATGCCTGATTATATTAGTGATTAACTTTTATAGCATAGTCATACCAGTCATTTGTCACTAAAAAATTGAGTCAAATTACCGTAGTAGTCACATTTACAGAATCAAGTAACCCAGGCCACAATGGTTGCAATCTTGGTTACGCGATATATCACAAATTTCCATTATTATGTCTTGAGAGTGGAACCATCAATTATATCTCTTCTTATCAGAATATGTTTGGAAAATGACATGCTGGCAGTTCATATCTTTACAATCTAGATTTGCAAAATTTGCAGTCTTTGTGTCCATGGAAGCATTTTTGGCCATGTTATGTATACACAATAAGAAGTTTTGAAAATTGCTAAAGGGACAAAATCTTAAATGCAATTAAAATAACTAGTCTTCCATGCTGACCTTCTAAACGGCCTTTCTTTTCATCTTATGCCACCCATCTTGTGAGTGTCACTTTGTGACCATTCGCCAGTGAACTATATATGTAAGAACTGGCTAGGGGTTCAGAAATGTGTTTTGTGGTTCACTTAATACTGTAGCTTTTTATTTTGTAATTCAAGAATGTATCTCGTCATTCTTAGCACGCTTCTAACTTTTGTATAGTTATATCAAGATAATATATATATTTTGAGTTTATGCTGTCTGAAAAATTCTTTTATCATTGTTTAATGGCATATGCAATGCCTAGATTTGATATTTTATATACTTACATTTGTGTCATGTGCAATACCTATATCTGCCAACTCCATGCTACAATTGCTTAAAGGTATGGAATGAAATCCTCTATTTTACATTATGTGTGAATTGTGATTGTTATGTTCATCATAAGGAGTTCAATGGGGATACATTGGTCTTATTTATTTATTTATTTTGTGGACAAGATTGTAAAACAATGTTAGTACTCATTCTGCACTCTATTAGTTTGTAAAGATGTATACGTTGCTGTATTTCTAGTCAATTTTTAGATGTTACGCATGATAACACTTTCTTTTGTATATGTTCTTAAATAGTAGGCATTTACATGTTGCACACTTGGCAGCTTGTTGGTATAGTAGCGCAGGCTAAAGCAGAAAAGGATTCGTTGGAGAGCTTGGTCCAACCAGTTGAAACAGCAGATAGACTTTGGCAAGAGATGCAGACTATCCAAAAGCAAATTGAAGATTTGGAATATAAGCTTGACGTTCGTTCTCAGGGTGTCAGATCATTGGAAGAGATTCAGGCTGAGCTGACGAGTTTACAAGAAACAAGGTAGGGTAGGGCATATTCTCATAGATTGCACTCCTACATGTCAAATAATTAGCGTCTATGTCCAAATATGGTAATTACTTGTTTTCGTGTTCTATAATTTCACTGAATACATGGCCTGGGTACACCTTCTCTGCACAATACCAAACCACTAGGTGGTGAGATAGTGTGGAAAGACGCCAAGAAGAAAGGTATCCTAAAGGCTGGCCGCTCTGATATGGCTACTTCATGGTTTACATCTATGATACTATTGGCAAGGTCTCTCTTATTCAATCTGATCTGGTGATCTTTGCTTGATATGGAGCTTTTTCTTTTTCTCCCAGAGATAATTTGACCAGGCAACTGGAGAATCTAAGAGAAGACCAAAGCTACATGAATAATGATCTGGCAAATATGCAGATGCGGTGGCATGCTGCAAGGGAAGAAAAGTTGCAAGCATCTAGTAAGTTAACTCGAGTCAACGACTTAACAGAAGAAATAGAGAGGCTGAAAGAAGAGAAAAGTCAAATGGATATTGACATTCAGGTAGTTTAATGTATATCTATTTCGTAAAATGCATGCTTCCTTTCCAGTTTATTTTAGGTGCACCTGAAGCAGCATTGGTGTTTTCTTTGCAGTATGTTTTTCTGGACAATGGATGTTAGTTTCATCATTACTAGAAGCTACGTTTTCTTATTTTTGATAGTTGACAGTTTTGTTGGCCCCTCCTCGTTTATTTTTGTTTACGTGATTCCACTTATTCTTGGGCCTTTTTCTCCATCCCATTTATATGAACTGCATCTCTCCTGTTAATTTCAATGTTTTTGCCTTGTATTATATGCACTATTTTTTATGAACCACATCTTGTCAATGTGATTTTGTTCACTTCCTATTTTATAATCATGTTTATTATCATTGCTTTGGCCTTTCCTATTCTGTAGCAAGTTCATAAGTGCAGCATCCACTCGTACTCTTTTTAGGTCTCTTTTATTTTTAGCACCTTCTGCTAGAAGTTTATTAATTAAATTTCCCAGGATTTATAGAATGTGATCCTTTTTAATAATTCGTCGTAACTGTTGTGTCTTCCAGCTTCTATCAGAGGCTCATGTACCATTGTCCAAGGAGAAGGATAAGCTGTGGAAGGATCATAAGGATATTAAACTGAAGTTTGAGCATGAATATGATGAGCATGCTGAAATTCTCAGAAGTTTCCAGCACGAAGTTGACACCCTCTCCACTTATGCATCAAAGATAAAAGCGTATGTTTCTTATATTGTAAAACACTTTCTTTTTGCTACAGTATATTCTGATTCTGGTGTTGTGCTATTGTAACCTCTTTCTAGATATAATGATTCAAGAAAAGGAGAAAGGCTCAAGGAACTTCAAGAAAAGCAATCACTTTTGGAATCTCAGCTGCGGAAATGTGAGAGCCGGAAAGTGGAAGTTTCGGCAGAATTAGACAAAAGCAAGGAGTTGTTGCGAAACCAGGATCAAGTGAAAAGAAATATTGATGACAACTTAAGTTACAGGAAAACAAAGGCTGAAGTTGACGATCTTACTCATGAGATAGACTCTATCGAAGATAAGATGAAGAACATTGGGCCATTTCAAGTTTTTGAATCTGATCTTAAAAAGCAATTGCAGGACAAGGAGAGACTTCTTTCAGAGGTAATTGTCTGAGTCGTGCTCGCCCTTTAAGCTATTGCATTATTTCACGTTTGTTATGAAAATGGATTGAAGATGCTTTTCAGCAATTCATTCCTTCACATACTTCAGTGGTGGGGTATGATTTTCTTTAGCGACTTTAGATATAACCAAGTCCTTACTGTAGGAACGTTTATAGATAAGAGTATGGAGTTAGTGCATACATTGAGACGAATGAGAGTAAACATAAGTGGAAAGGGGAAAAATCCAAGGACATAGATGTGTATAAATTTTGGTATACATGAAAGGATGATAATAGAAATGACGTAAACATAATAGTAAACAAAAATTTAAAAGGTAAAGTAGTTAATGTCAAGAGAGTAGGTGATAGGCTCCTATTAATGAAACTTGTATCAAGGGAAACGATAGTAATCGTAATTAGTGCTTATGTACCACAAGTAGGACTACATGATAGAATTAAGAGAATTTTGAGAGGACATGGATGGACTACTCCAAGACATACCAAATGGAGAGCTGACCTTTTTCGGAGGGGGTTAAATTGACATGTAGGAATGGATAATAGAGGATATAAAGGGGTACATGGGGGATATGGGCTTGGTGAAAAAGATGAGATGAGATGGGTGAGACTATTCTAGATTTTGTTATGGCCTACAACCTAGCAATAACAAACAATTACTTTAAAAGCAAGATGAACATTTACTAACCTATAGTGGATCATATGAAAGCCTGATAGACTTTTCATAGTTAAGAAGGTAGATCGACCATGATGTAAAGACTGTAAGGTTATCTCAGGAGAGAGTTTGACTACGCAATATAGGCTTATGTTTATGGACGTCTGCATAAAGACATGGAAGAGAAGGGGTGAAATTAATAGGTGTACAAGAACTAGGTACTGGAATTTAAAAAAATGAGAAAGTAGACTTATTTAGGGATAAATTACTTAAAGAAGGAAAACTGAACTCTGAACATGAGGTCAATGTTATGTGGAATGAGATGGCTGATTGTATTAAGAAAGTGGCAACATAAGTTCTAGGAAAAACTAGAGGGAAAAAAAATTCCAATGAGTAAACTTGGTGGTGGAGTGATGAGGTTCAGAAGGACATTAGTGAAACATGATCATGTTATAAAACTTGGCAATGTAATAGAAATGATCAAAACTTACAAAAAAAATGCTAAAAAAATATGCTAAACAAGTAGCAAGGGTATATTTAAGTGATATGATAATTTATACAGTAAATTGGAAACAAAAAAAGGTTAAAAAGATATCTTCAAAGTAGCAAAAATGAGAGAAAAAACGTGTAGGGATCTATACCGTATTAAATGGCATTAAGAGTGAGGATCTATAAGTCTTAGTGAAGGATGAGGTCAATGAAAGGTGGAGAGTTTATTTTCAAAAATTAACTAACGAACACAATGGAAACACAGCGGTAGAAGGAACTGTTGGCAAAATGAAGGTGGGCGTCATAGATACATTCGTAGGATTAGGATATTGGAAGTGCAAGAAGTTTTGAAGATGATGAAGATAGGAGAGGCTTTAGGACTAGATGGTGTCTTGACAGAGGTTTGGAAGTACATTGGGGAGATTGGCAATGACGGGCTGACCAAGTTGTTTAACAAGTTGTTGAGAACAAAGCAAATGGCAGATGAATAGAATAAAAGTCTTGTGGTACCTATTTACATAAAAAATGAGACATAAAAGATTGTGTGAACTATCGAAGGATCAAATGAAGTTGTGGGAGAGAGTGATTGAGCAATGACTAAGGCATGAAGCAAAAAACCATTTCAGTTTTATGCCTGCGAGGTCAACCACTGAGGTTATTTTCCTACATAGGAAATTGATTAAAAAGTTTAAGGCGAAGGTAAAAGACCTCCACATGGTGTTTATTGATATCGAGAAAGCTTATGATAGAGTACCTCGAGATTTTCTTTGGTAGGTGTTGGAAAAGGAGTCTCCAGACACTACATTGATTTGGTGAGAGATATGTACAAGGGAACGCTTACGATTATGCAAACAACTAGTGGAGAGACGAGTGAGTTTTCAGTGACAATAGGTCTACAACAGGGGTTAACATTGAGCCCATACCTCTTTATCTTGATTATGGACGGCTTAACTAAGCACCTACAAGATGAAGTGCTGTGGTGTATGTTGTTTGTGGACGACATGGTTTTGATCGATGAGACCTGAAGCAGCGTCAACACAAAGTTAGAACTTTGGAGGGATGCTCTAAAATCTAAAAGTTTTAAATTAGTTGGACTAAAACATGATACATGGAATGCAAGTTTAGTAATAATAGGAGTATAGACGAGGAAGTAGTTAAGAATGACGACTAAGAAATACCAAAAAGAGCACACTTTTAATATCTTGGGTCAATAATACAGAAAAATAGAGAGATTAAGGAAGATGTCGCACATAGAATTAGAGTTGGGTGGGCGAAATGGAGATGTGCAACTGGAGTATTATGTGATCGCCGCATACTAGTGAAGCTGAAGGGCAAGTTTTATAGGTTTGTTGTGAGACCAGCCTTGCCCTATGGAACAAAATGTTGGGCGGTCAAGAAACACATATCTATAGAATGAGTGTAGATGAGATGATGATGTTGAGATGGATGAGTGGCACGACAAAGAAGGGATAGAATTTGAAATAAATACCTTTGGGAGAATTTAGGTGTGACACTAATAGGTGATAAGATGTGATAAAGTAGACTTAGGTGGGCTGGCTATGTGCAGTGTAGACTCAATACAACACCTGTTAGGAGTGCAAGTTAATTCAAGTGGAAGGCTAAAAAAAGGCAAAGACTAGGCCCAAAAGGATATGGTTGGAAGTAGTGAGAAAAGATACGAGGACTTGTGGCTTCACTAAGGGTATGGCCCTTGATAAAGCATACTGGAAGACTAGGATTCGTGTAGCCGACCTTAATTAGTTGGTAAGGCTCTGATGATGATGATGAAGGATGTTTAATGGAAATATTTTGGGTATGATATAAACATTGACACATGGTGGTGGGAGAGTTGTACCTTGTGAGAATCATTCTAGAATGTCATGAACCTCCTTTAAGTTGGGGATTTTCTTCGAATGTTTTAGGAAGCCTGCCTTTCTCATAATAAGGATAGGGGTAAGTATATTAGGATTTTGAGTATTTATAATTCCACTTATATAAGGATTTGTGTTGTGAAATCCAATTAGATTATGATTAGGTTGCCAAATCCTTTTAGGGATTTAGGCTGGAATAAAATCAATGGAGGTTTCTAGAGAATGTGAAGCTTTTGAGAATTGTGAATAAATTTAAGGAGGTTGGCCCCCCTCAAAGTGGCTAAGGGACACACTCTTGAAGACGCATTTATTTGTTTTTTCTCAGCATTATATATTGATGTTTCTTGGTTTTGCATCATTTGGCATATGTGTTGTATCAATTATGCCGCTAGTTTTCACTTTAATAGTTCTGTCCGACAGTATCCATTGTTGCTCACTTGAATTTTGTTTTTACTATGGCATACAGTGAATTGATTGAGTGGCATGTGATTTATAGTCATTCTATTTCCCTGCCTAAAACAATTCCATCTTAGTATTAGCCTTTAATGCCAAATTCCGTTGCTACAGCATTTTTCTCCAGGTTCTGTGATGACTTGAGCAATCATGTTAATTCATCTTTAATCGCATAATTTAACTTTCAACATTGGCCTTGAAGAAATTGCTTTTTGCAGCCGCTTTTCTACATTTTTTAACCATCTTCTTGGATGTTAAACCTTGTAGATGGCACTTTATAACCTTCATGGTTGATCAACTCTAGAGTTACTCCACGTAAATGTAGTTTTATTTATGCATTTAATTGTGTATTTTTTAATCAAATATACTGAAACTTTTATCCTCTGTATTGCTTGCTTCTGTATTACTTGTAGTACAGGTTTTTTGATTATTGGCACAAGTCTTTGTCTTGTCACATTGCATTCAATAATGTGGGTTTGAAATGCTCTATAGACTTTTGTCCATTAGTTCTGGGATGTGGCAGCCCTATATGTTCTGGCCCTATTTTTAGAGTTCTATAATGGGGACATCATCCACCAGGGAACAAACTCTACATTTATTGCCCTGGTCCCAAAACTCGAAGGAGCCAAGGACCTCAAGTATCTTATGCCAGTAATCTTCCTTAATAGTTCCTACAAGATTATCTTTAAAGTGTTAGCATCCGCCTTCGGCATGTGCTGACACAGTAATCAAATTCGGTGGCATAACACTTTATGCTGCTTCACTCTGAAGGTGTATCACCACATATGCAGTGCTCAATTCTGTTGTGAGAGTGATTATTAAAGGTTTAGTCAACATTATATTGTAATTAAGTCTCTAAGGACGTATTTGTCCTTTCTTCCACAAAAGGACATTCTTGTACAGCAAGTAAATCTTTAATAACTAATATAGAGATGACCTAACACCACCTTCTCTCTTTCTTCCTCTCTTAACATCCTCTTCCTTCCTCTTTTTCTCTCTCACTGAGCGCTCGATCTCTTCATCTTTTTTCTTCCTTTTCCTCATCCTTTGATCATTTACTGCTGTATTTTAAACTCACTCTATGTAGGAGGCTGCTTATGGGTAGAACCCATGAGCCGGAGTAGTTTGGCCATCGACTGCCACCCCGGGGGTGTACTTTTTGCTTTTAGTTTTTAATAAATTTGTTGACTGCATCGGAAGTGATGCACCTACATCGAGACCGCATTGAGGCACGAAGTGCATTGGAGCCCCCTCATGCATCGTGTTGTCATCCTGCATTTGATAACCTTGTGTGCTAAGTTATGTAGTGCCCCATCTCAGGAAACCTTCATGAAGGTTTGACAAATATTGGATGGTGCTTTGATAGCACAAGATGCTATCCATTCTCGGCAGTCCAAATCTTTGGTCTTGGTGTTTAAGCTGGATTTGGAGGAGGCGCACGACCATGTTGAATGGGACATATTGGAGTAGGTCCTTGGGCTTATGGGTTTTGGCAATAGATGGAGAGAAGTTGGATCCT